AGAGAGAGAGAGAGAGAGCATCAAAACGGAGCTGATATCCGAGATTTATCAGATACCTCGCCATAACCACATGCAAAGTGTAACGCTGTTCTTCCCTCAGAATCTTCTTCATCTTTATTGCCACCATTAGCTAGAGCACTCTTTAAGCCCTAATATATTACATTATGGGAAGAAGAAAAAAAAATAGAAGAAATAAGGGGAAAAAACCCCACAATTCAAGTTAATTTTGAAACTAAATCCAAAATTCATCATAACACAACAGAAAAATATTCAAGTACAAAAACAACATGAGGGCATTCTGTAAAAGTATCAAAGCTTTTGCATTGTCGATGGATGATCTTTCAATCTAGCAAACAATTATAAATCATAACACAGTGTGGTAATTAGTATTACTCATAAGCATGTTACCTCTACATCACCAATACTGGCAGTGTGGTGGACAATGGATTCGTCCTCATTTGCTTCCTCTGTTTCGTCTTCGGCTGCATCTCCGGCTGATGTTCCGCTTTCTCCCCCGACAGCAAATCCCATGGCGTCCCCTAGTTTCTGGAGAACATCCTTGTCATTCCAGTACCTGCTTGCAAAACAGACGAGAAATATACAGGCATAGAATACAGGCAAACTGACGGAAAAGAAACAGGAAAAAGGCTGAATAGAACAAATCACTCTACAACTCATTCCACGTAAGTATATCCATTCTGACATTCAAACTATCTTCCAATTTCTACATTAATCTTTTTTTTTTTTAGGGGGTTGATATTGGTATGCTTTACTAAATGCTTGCATGAGGCTTAGCTGAAATGGATTTGAACAAAAAAATGGATTTGAATCTTGGAAAACAAGATTGATCAATATAAAAGAGGAGACATAGACCAATATAAATCACCCGCCTGTGAAACAAGAATAAAGAATAATGCATCTTCAAAGACGCGAACCATCTTGAACTGATTGTTTTGGTTGAAAAAAATCTACAATGTCAAGGAATCATATAGGATAAAAACCTGAAAATTCTTACTATTAGATTATACTAATGTCTACATGGCTAACCATGTAGATGTACAACTGCAGTGAGGATCACAACAATTGGAATCTTAGAATACAGACAATGGAGCTAGTTAAGTCGATCAAGCAAGTCTACAACAAAGCATAACCTTAATGAATTTAGTAATTAGTTATAACTAAAACCACAGAAGAGTAGATGGCATATATCATTGACATACTTAAAAAAAGTTCAAATCATTCCGCTGCACCCCAACAATATTCGACAGAACACATTATACATTAGCATTTCAAGAAGGGAAGTTATAACTTCTGTATAAACTAAGAAAACCGACCTCATCATCGCAGCAGGTCCACCGTTCTCGATTTCATCCAATATAGGCTTCAAAGATGGATCCTCCTTCACGCGCGCCATTCGTTCTTCAAGTTGGTCTTTATTGGCTGGATTTGCCAAATTCTCAAGCATGCCAGACATGGCTGGATCCTGAGAAAAGATAGAATGATGCACAATATTATGACATCCACAATTCAAATTACATCCAGAGTGTCATGAAGACATGAACAATATCAGATCAACAAGTACCTGCATTAATGCACTGCCGAGCCTCTCTGCCATGGTCATAAATTGTGGGTTTTGCATTACTTGTTGCATGGTTGAGTAATACTGTTGTGTATCAATGCTGGGGATACCATCTTCCAGTGAAGCACCTTGAAAGGTTTTCTGCAGTTGTTCCGCCATCTGATTAAAAGAAGGGTCTTTTGCTATCTGTTCGGCTAATTCCTTGATGCTCGGGTCCTGTTACACAAACAAAAAGTTAAAAACTAAAATTAGGGAACATTAAGGAAGCATAGCAAGAAGGAGAGACTTCGCAAAGCTCCATTCTTGTAAATTTAGCACAATAAAACAGCATAAGCCTTGCAGCATATCCTCTCACAACTTCAAATAAAGTTTCAGTCCTTATTCTTGAAGCATTACAGAAATTCAAATATAACTTTTTTTTTTTCATTTAAAAGTTCTGAGTGGAGCGAACAATAATTTAGTCAAACTGATACGAAAAAGGAACTTTTACGTTACCATAGCAATAGCTATATGGTTGATGTTTAAGAAAATTTTCTAACCAGTTTATCCACTAGACAGAAATTAGTATTAGATCGACTCGGTGACATGCTACGGATGCCCCATCTACAATAACAATCTCAAATGAAAGACCAAACATGAATCAAGAAAAAATCTATACATTAAGCAATCCCGACATAGCTGAAAAATCGAACGGATTAGGCATCCCAGCTACAGGAGGAGGGGTAACACTTCTCTGGCCAGATGACGACTCCACGGCATTCGAACTTCGAGCCGACTTCTCTTCTGAAGAAAAGAAAATGATCAACTATGTCTTTTTTTCCAATAACAAAAAAAAAACATAAAAATAGGCAGTCCAATAACATGATTAAGACTTCATATCATAACACTGAAATACGAAATGCTAACGATTAATTGCCCACTCATCAATTTCCCTATATTTGACCATCTTTCGTTCTCAATAACATTCACCAGACTAACACAGTATCTAAAAACAATTATCTTTGGGGAAGTTACGCCTGAACCACACGGGGCGTATTCTTCTTGCGGAAAGAGTTTTACTCGGCTAAAATCTTTCCGTTTTTTAGTTGTAATTTACTTTTCAGTTCAATTGTAGTTTTCTATTTTAGATTTTTTTTGTAAGAACTGAAAAATACATATCAGTTTGTAGGATTCCCGTGTAATTTTACACCAATTAACCAACTGAGAGCTCAAATATAAGAGTCAAGGACATAAGCTCACCGTCCTTGGAGCTTAGAGGAGTCTTCGATGCCTGCAAAACCCCAGAAAATTTATAAGGGAACAACACAGAATCAGTACATCAGCTGCAAACGCGTGCAAACAGTCAAAATTTAATTCAGCTGACGAATTTAATAATAGAAAAATCGATCGGCAAAATTCAAACAATCAAGATTTGAAATTATGCAACGCAAAAAAGCAATAAGCGGTAGAAATTTGTAAGGCTCAAGGGATTCGGGACAGTACCTCGGACATGTTTGCTATATAATCCGATGTAGAAACTGTTGGTGTTCAGATCTTGTGCTTGTAGAGATTTGCAGACTACGAAAAAAAGGTAAAAGAACGAAGCTTATTAAGTTGTAATAAGTGAGCCAACTCAATAATCCTCATCACCGATTTCGATGAAGGGTCAGATTTTTTTATTATTATTTTTTTAAAGAAAAAAAAAAATTGGCATGTCTTTTTTGCTTGAGGATTATTATTATTATTATTATTATTATTATTATTATTATTATTATTATTATTATTATTATTATAATCCTTGTTTCCACGAAAATCCCCGTTTGTTATTATGGATTGTTTGGGATATCCCGAATAATCCTCCCTAATTCGGCCTTTGTTTTCTTTGATTGCGGCCAGGTGGATTGCACCAGGCCCTGCAGTAATAGCGAGTTATCCCGCATTCGAGTGATTGTTGGATCCGACATTATTGGTATGATTACAACCATCCAAATTTGTCTTTTATCAATTTTACCCTCAACTTTTATAAGTTCGAACTAATTACCTTCGTAATCTCCTTAATTACATAAATACCCATTTAAATCCATATGAAAAGGCAGAGGACACGTGAGCTTCTCACGAGCCCTAGTCGCTAACAATTGGAGGGCACAATCTAAAATTGATCCTGTTAGCACATGGCGACGAAAGTAGCGTAGGGATTGTGCACATCTTTGCGTTTCAGCAGAGGATCTAACAAGCCGAAGTCGCAAATATATCCATATTGAACGGGCTCAA